TTACGCGATGAATAATTCTTCCATTGCTTCAAATGTTCTAGCGTAGAACATTATAATATAACTTTTTGGTATTAGCTCTATTTCCAGTGCTGATTTGATTTGAAGTGTAAAATGGGAATTGGAAACTGATTTTTCAATTTGTAAATATTTGTAAAATTTAAATTCAATAAAATGTAGAATTTTATGATGTATGCTGTTCATACATAAATATTATTGATTTATTTTAAGAATAATAATATAAAAATTGGTAAAGGACTCTTGATATAAACATAAACGAAAGTACAAAGGACATTATAAGAGTCATGTGAAATAAAATTTAAAAAGTTAGATAAAACGTAACAGTCATATATAATAAAATATCATCTTACAAAATTCTGAACTATACATTACTAAAAAAAAAAATTACAAAGTTGTATAAACTACTTAATGTTTCGGCTCTCGGATCGTATTTTCCAATTATAAAGAAAGTTTAACATTGTCATTTTGTGGCCTGTCTCAGTTGTCATCGAGCACTCACTGTGTTAGCATGTTTAGTGATAGTTGCGGATGATCTATCACTCGATTTTTGTGAAATCTGTAATAGAGTAAAATAATTTTATAGTTTTTTGACTTCATACACTGACGATCCGATTATTAATGTATTACACTATTAAGTTATTGTGAAAGTTGAATATTGATGTCCATTTCTAAAGGTTTGACAGAATTATAATTTATTATTAACGAAATTTATTATATGTAGATTTTGATATTAATTAATTGTATGTTAATTTATTATATACTTAATAGCTTTCTTTACTTTCGATCTCTCAATCGCATGGTGAACAATGTTAAGACACGGAGAGATGGACAATCAAGATTAATCCAATAATTATTAACTTCAAGAGTTATGATGTCACTTCTGAGGAGGGCTCAATCCGAGAGCCGAAACGTTAAGTAGTTATAGAACTTTGTAATTTTTTTTTTAGTAATGTATAGTTCAGAATTTTGTAAGATGATATTTTATTATATATGACTGTTACGTTTTATCTAACTTTTTAAATTTTATTTCACATGACTCTTACAATGTCCTTTGTTTATTTTAAGAATTTTATTGAAGCAAAATACATTCGATATAAAGATTATAGATTAAACAAATGTTAATGTTAATTTGTAAGATTATTAAAAAATTTTTTTCGCATTGTTAACTGCGTTTGACTCTTAATAGCCTTTAATTTATGTTTTATTTATTTGTTTTTAACAATAAACAGTCCATAACTAGTTTATATAATTTTATTAAGAATTTTTGATTAAACAAATGGTTTTACTACCATAAAATTGTAAGACGATTTAAAATTAATGTTAAATATATTTAATAAGACGTTATACAGCTACGGTATTTTAAAGCAGATCATTTCCTAGAATATAGATTTGCAATATTCGGCGAGCTTAAGGCGCTCGAAGGCATCCGAAACGATCAAAAAGTTATCGATCACAGTAACCTTCCACACTGACCGCCGTCTACCTGTTTCGGACACGTCAAAGCATGGACATGGAGCCGGCTGTCTTCTCGTTTGTTTCAAATTCTCGTCACTCATTTTTCATACGTTTACACTGCCGACGCCGACGCCGTCGCGCCGCCGCCGCCGCCGGTTCCTCTCAATACCTAAAAGAATGAGAGAAAGAGAAAAAGAGCGAGAAGGAAGACGTAGTAAAGAATGGGGAAAGGTGGAGGAGAGTGAAGTTGAGAACGGAACGAAGAGGGGTAATCGTTCTCCTCTCCACGCTGTTCGAAATAGTGGTTCTTTCCGCCCTTTGTTCTTCCTCGCAAGTTTTCTTCCTTCAGACGCGGGGGGAAACAAAAGACAAATTACAGAGACGCCCGTCATGTGACCCTTCCCACCTGTCTATAAACGACCTGGTCCAGAGAAAACGAGAGCACACCGAAGACGAATACAGGAGGAAAATCTGTGATCCGCGCGACTCGGTCGCATGTGTAAACTACAAGTACTTCTCCATTGAAGATTTACTTTTTCCTCTTGCCTTTGATGATCGTATTTCGTTAAAACATATTTCTTTATCGCTCGTTATCGTACAATGATATAGCATCTACGAATTAATTATAAGTGCAATGGAGATTACAAGTGTAATGCAAAAATTAAGGAAGAAGTGTGAGAATTTCATCAGCTGTTCGTAAATATTCGGGCATTGTAAAAACGAAAAAATAAAAGAGATATGAGCAAATGGAGAACGAAATTACAGTGTTTTATACATTAACCAAAAATTCGAAAAATATATTTTTAAGCAAGAGCACTCTTTATTAAACAGTATTGATAGCTTTTATTATTACTTCGCCGTACTACTTATTGCTTTTAAAGACAAATATAAAAAAGAAGCGTTATGCTGAAATGATGTAGATACTCTTAATGTTATCTTAAAAATGATGTACTCTCTCGATGTATAAGAGTAATCTATTATATTAACAAATGATCACAATTTATATCTGTAAATTTAATTACCTACAAACAAAGTCTAATCTTAAATAAAAAAATTGATTGAAATAGAATTATATAGAGTACGAGGATATAAAAAACAAAATAATAAGCGGAACGTTGATGAAATGCTATTGTTTCAAAAAGTTGTTAAGCTTTATTTCATCAAAGCTTGCATTGAGATTAAAACACATGCTTATAAAAAAAGATGATAGAAAAACATGGCATAACTTGCGAAGTTATGTTTCATCAAAAGGTTACATTTTAGAGAGTGTAAACTCATACCGACTTCCTCTTACTGATGAGAACGCGCGAAGCGACGGTTGTCAGTTTTGTCACGGACATCAGCATCTGCTTCAACGACGATTGACGAATTATTACATAAATTACATTATAACAAACCTGTTATTTTAATATCATTTTTCACATTTTTCCTTTAACTTCTTTACTTATTTCGTTATTTGTTCATTGAGATAGAAAAATAGAATGTATTGTGTAAATTACAAAATAGAATTATGATTAATTCGTAGAAAGAACGATTTATTAACCATTTATTATTAATTATAATTATTTTAGTGTAATATTAATGACTATACAGAGTCAAACGCTGTTTTCAGCGTAAATTATATACAAATATATCTTTGATACAAAAAATTCGAACGTTTCGGTCCTATTATTTGCGACCATCATCAGCGACAATGTAAAACATATAGTAATGCTACCTAATGTTGGAGAGAACGTTAAAACGCAGTAATATTAGTATATCTTATCCTCTCATGTACCAACAGAGGTAAGCCCATCACTTGGTGGAGTGAAGGTGTGATACAATTATTTTAAAAACCTGGATGTATGTCTGTGAAATTGCAACACAATAGAATCCGAGGCATACATTAATGATGTCAAGAAACTGTTTAACTGACAATTTCGTCTTTATAGTGTCAGTAACTGACGATAAGTAACGATGTAGTGAAGAATGTCAATATTATACCCCATACAGTAAATAGGCTTTAGGTCAAATTATTGTTTATCAATTTGTCTCTAGAATATCACCGTATGACTGATCAAGTTTCGGTGTCTGTAAATTAAATCCGTTTCTTTGTGTTTTTATACAAAACATTTCTGAGATTAAGCGTAATACTAATTGTTAATACTAATTGTAATTATGGAATTGTATCTTTGTCAACCAGCAGAGGTAAGCTTGTTTAATAAAAATGAAAAGTTTTAATTTGTTTCTCTTAACGAATGGCTCGGATTCTATTGTGTTGCAATTTCACAGAGATATATCCAGGTTTTTAAAATAATTGTGTCACACCACCAAGTGATAAACTTACCTCTGTTGGTACATGAGAGGATAAGATATAATATTAATATTATTGCGTTTTATATAATATCGTTCTCTCCAATATTAGGTAGAATTATTGTATATTTTATATTATCTATCGCTGATGATAGTTCAAATAATAGGACTGAAACGTCAAATTTTTTGTATCAAAGATATATTTGTACATAATTTACGCATTGAAAACATCGTTTGACTCTATTAAGCCATTAATATTACACTTAATTAATGATTGTGATTTTGTTTTAATCATAAACAAGTCTTTAATTCAATTAAATTTTGATTATTATTATTAATTTTTGTATAATTATTTTGCAATATTTAGTAATTGCTTTTATAGCATTCTATGATATTTATTTTTATCCCGCAATATTTTTGTATATTGTTAGAAAAAACATAGAACTAAGTTTAAAAACAAGGAAGAACATTGATGTTTGAATTTGAGTAAAATCTGCATAAACAAAAAAACATGATAATTCTTTTGTAAAATATTTATGGTAGCAGTCTCAACCGGATGAACCCATAGACAAAACTAACAGTGTGATATACGAAAATACAGACTCTATTTTCGTGCTCTATATCTTTCTCACCTCGCACACGATCCTGTCAGGTCGCGCTCTTCATTTTGACTATGGCTTGACAGTTCGTCATCCTCTACATCATCTCGCAAGAACAAGAAGCTTGCTAGCAATGTCGACATTTTCGTCCGGAAAAAGTCGTCGTTACAAAGCAGTAACGCTTGTCACTAAGTTAAATTAGCAAGGAGTGGTGTGACATGATATTGTTATTTTACTTACAAATACTAGTAACAATATTTGATTATTGTGTATGTGTGTGTCAACAAGATATCTAACACTATGAAATTTCTATTCACAAAAATACTGTCTAATCTAAAGATTTATTTGTGTCTATTAATATACTTAAGTATAAGATATACAGATAACCTTTTTGTAATAATTTGAAGTATTATAAAAATATATATATTACAAACTCTCTAAAAAAAATATTTTATCTTTTGTATATATTTTTATTTAGTAAACAGTTTAATTTATTATATCAGGTAGTTATTTGCCATCCAAATATTGCTCCGCATTCATCGCCGGATTGAATTAAACTCCTGAAACGATTGAACAGATACAGGGCGTGGAGTGGAGTTTGATCGACAGTTTCGTCCAACCAATCGCAAGACCGAAATGCTGATGAGGCCCACGTCAATCATGCGATACTTTCATCTCGCCACCATCGCCCTCACCCTATGGAAACTCCACGTGCAGGATTTGCTAGGTTCAAAGCTTACTACATCTTCAGTCTACACCTTTCTCCCTCATCCCTGAGTGTCTTTTCTCTTTTCCATTCTTCCTCTCCCTTTCTGACCGTCTCTATCACGTGCCCTCTCCGACCTTTTCCAGTCACTATACCTTCCTCTTTTTACCTTTCGTTTTCTCCACGTCTCTTTCCGTCTATCTCGTTCGATTATTCTCTTTCTCTTTCTTCTTTAACCCCTGACGACTCATCCTACTGTCGAACCACCCCTCAGCCACCCTACATCCGCTCGCACGCTATGGGGTAGTTTAGCATCTCGGCCCTACGAAACGAACCACCCTCTCCCCCGCTGCCCCCTTTGCTCCAAACTGCGTCACGCCGTATCGGTTTTTTTTTCTTCTCTCATGATACGGCGACGCGTAAAAAAGTGTAACACCCCCGATTCTTGATAAAAAAAAAAGTATCTTGACATCCAGGTGGTCAGTGACCGACAGAATAAAATATTAGCGTAAACTATTTTTTTCGCATTATTGATGTCCGCCAAAGTGGACAAGTTTCTTATGCTCCTAAATGATAGACAGAAAATAACGTATTGGGAAAAGTTTATCTAAACGTTCAAAATATACGTTGTTCGTAGAGAATTTGCCAAGACACGTCTTGTTAAACAACGCAAGCTCGGCGAGCCATCAAGTTTGATTGAAATATTACTCCTCGGGGCATGCAGCGAATTCTGTAATTACGATAGGCGGCTATTAATAATTGTTTACAGTTGGGTGGAAATTACTCTTACGCCACATGCCCCAACAAAGTACCGTGAGATACTTGGTCGCTACTTTCTAGACCAAATCTGCTCGAATAAACCACGATATGCTTCCTTACACTCCTCCCTCTCATGTTTTCACGTCCTCTCGATCCTGTGTGGCATTCCACTTGTTATCGCGGAACAAGTTTCTTATCCGATAACAATTAGGAGGTGTTTCACATCGACACGGAATAGTGCTGGTGGGAAACTTGCCCAAAAGTTTCTAAGGAGCCCAGTAACTCGCCGGAACAACACCAGAATGGTCCTTTTCGCCACGCGGGAATCTTCGCTTATGCATTGTTAAGGATGTCGTGTCGTCATCCCTTCCTCCTCTCCCTCCCTATCTCTCTCTTCCTCTCTATAGTCTAGGTTGCTTAAATGATCATTAATTAGGATACCATTTACTTCCTATAACAGACAAAAAGAGAGCATCGCTGCGATAAAGACAAAGCGAGTATCGAAGCGCGAAAACTTTATCGTGCTGCAAGAAGTAAAACCGAAAATTAAAATGAATGATCTTCATAACGAGTTTTTTGATCAAATCTTTATGATATTTGTAAAATATCTAAAAATAAAATATCTACATGATATCTTACCCTTAATGCAAGAATTGAAATTATCACACATAACTGAATTGATCTTATATTAAAGAAAATCCACGTTATGACATTTTAAATTTATTATTATTTGTAAAAATTGAAGAGAGAATTTTTGTCTTACAGAAAACGGTCTACCAAGAAGATTACGAACAGCTTACACCAACACGCAACTTCTCGAGCTAGAAAAAGAGTTTCATTTCAACAAATATCTTTGTCGGCCACGAAGGATAGAAATCGCAGCTTCATTGGATCTTACAGAAAGACAGGTAATAACTCTTTAATTAATACTAAAAAATCATTACATCATTTACATTTTTAATACATCACAATTAATTATTTTAAAATATTTCTATGTTGCTTTATTAGAAGCGCTACAAAAAATATTTTTCTTCCTTTTACACATGTTGTCGATGCATCGACATATATATGCATCATCCATATTTAATAATTAAAACGAAAATAACTATATAAATATTGTTATCTTCCTCTCAGGTGAAAGTTTGGTTTCAAAATCGACGAATGAAACACAAGCGGCAGACACTTAGCAAGGAAGACGGAGACGAGAAGGATGGTTCCACTTCGGATGGCATGGAAAAGCCTAAGAGTGACAAAATGTTATCAGCTGATAACGATGAAAAGAAGAGTTGTCATAACTGTGATATTTCGGGTGTGGGCGATGTCGGAAGCACTCTTACTGGCGACGTTACCGATTTAGGTTCGTCCGGTCGAAGAAACAGTAACAACAATAACACACCTGGTGCGACTAACAACAATAATAATAACAACAACAACAGTAATCCAGGCTTTAATACGAATAGCAATGGTGCCAGTAGCGTCGGCAGTACTAACAGTGTGTCCAGCTCATTCGAGAAGATGATAGTGGACGACGATTCGAGATCGCAAGATGGAAGTGAAGTGACGTCGCCGAGCGTGACGAAAAAATTGTCGGGTGAAGTGAGAGTGAAGGTTGAGAGCGGTCACAAAAGTCCGAACACAGCGAAGCAGCAACAGATCTCAGTGAGCAAGAAATCACCATCGGCCAGCACGAAGGACATGTGTTCGGTGAACAGCAACGGTGTGCTATTAGCTATGCCGGACTCGACGGTCAGCACGCCGGTACTACCGGGTCAGAATTCCACGAGGAGCCTGACACCATCCTCGACACCCGGTACACCCGTTTCCGTCCAGCTTCAGCAAGGCAGCCCCCTCGGTATGCAGCAAGCGGCGGCTCACACAGCTTACATGCAGAGACCGCGTAGCTCACCGTCCTCCACGACATCCTTGCCAGGCCCGATGTTGCACGCCCCTACAAATCCGGGAACGATGTCGCCGCACGGTGGCCGAAACATCTCGAACAGCCAGCAAGCACACTTCCAACAGCAAGGCGTGTATCAGCCCACGCCGACAATTGATTACCGAAACGGCGTACCGACCAACAGGCAGAGTATACCTACGGCGTCGCAACAGAGCCAGTCGCAAAATAGTTACTGCACCAGAGATTCGTATCAACAATCAAGAATCTCTTATCCAAGCGAGGTGAATTCTCTGTACGTGAGACAAAACCAGGCGGTGGGCTCGAGAGTAGCACATCACGTAAGAGCAACGGGCACGGCGGCCTCGAGATCGATGTACGGCGCCAACATGCAGTTTCATCAGCAACAGTTGCAATACGGTAGCACCGGAGAGTATAACGGATATCCTCAAGCTGGACCACCTTATCACGCTTATCACAGAGGTATGCAGGGTACCAGCGCGTACAATTCCGGTCAGGGGTACTCGGCGACGCAGAACGAGCAGAGCACCGACGGCTATATGACGCCTGGAAATTACGGTTATTCGTCCGGCAGCAATTATCATGGGACCGGCGAGAATCTAGCGACGCACGGACACGCCGCTGTATCCGCGCAAACCGGACAGCATTATTTCAACGATATCCAACAACAGCAACAGCATCCACAGCAACATACCGCCGAGGGCTACGTCACTCACCAGCCGCCGATGCATCCAAGTTCCGGCGACTACCGACCCGGGAACAAGTGCCATCCGGGAGCGTATTACGAGCAGACCGCCGCCGGTCAGCTGCACGTTCATCAGGGCGGCGAGGCTTCCAGCATCCCGAACAGTTACGTATCGTCGCCCGATCCGTTTCCGGCGCCTGGCATGACGACAACCGCGACGGCGATCGCAGCTGCTACCGCAGCAGTTATTACGCCACCCGGAACCGCCGGCCAGGCTGACGGTAGTAACAACGAGTCCTATGGCAATTATGGGAATTTCTACGGCGAGCCGGTACACACCGCCGCGGCGCCGCCACCATCCGCCGACAACAGCAATAGCTCGTCCGATTTCAACTTCCTCAGCAACCTAGCGAACGACTTCGCGCCCGAGTATTACCAGCTCAGCTGAGTCCACGAGACCGAGAATCCTTGCCAGCTGGACTGGGGCGATGAGCAATGTCTACTCAACGCTTTGTATTGAAGCTAACACATCTACGTGATTTGTATATATATACTTCAACATTCGTAATTTAACTGTGCGTGTAAATGAAAATGGTGTAAAAATAAAACGGGGACTAAAAGTACTATTAACGGTGCGTGTGTCTATATAAATTATAAATAAATCTCCCCCCCCCCCCCCCACCCCCAATGACCTAAGTTGTCGAATATCCCACTAGTTCGAAGTGACTCTTCCCGCGAGTTGTGTCGAAATTATTTTCAAGACTGGCTGCATCCGATCAAGACGCTTGGACTGATTTATAGAATGGTTGTACATAATAAAATCTGCAATATTTAAATTGACTTTAATAACTGCAAGCATATCTGAAGTAAATCCGGATTACCAGAGAAATTGTCGACTGTTTTAGAATGCAAGCATAGCCGATCGGTCGATACTGCATCTGTGAGTGTAATATCAATTTTAATATTGCTTACCATGTGGACGAGATGTAATTTTACTAATTTATATTACAAACATATTAAGAAAGTTATTTACAACAGTAACAACGAGTGCAATGGTTGTGTTAATTTTAAATTGGAACGATGTTAACAGAGAGTTCCGCTATTCCGCTATTCACACAATTTTTTAAACTGTATTACAAAGTGACACATTTATATATCACGACCCTTTGCGAAACACGCTTAATCGCAGAAGATGAAAAGTGATTTGTGAGTGATATTAGACTGATATACACGAGCTGTGGTTTACAAATGTGCATGAAGAACGTTGTAAATATATCAAAGATTTACCGTTACGGAAATTCGATGGGATTTCAATTCAACGTCGGTCCGATTCTCGTGAACGGAAACACGAGGTGTAAGTGCAATCTTCTAGGCGCAAACGGTCTCTGTATTAGTACATCCTTAGAGTGTTCGAAAACTACATACATATTATATTATATAGATTACCGAAACCACACATATGTTCCTTTTGTTTTCGATAACTTAAGTCACCGGCACAGAGTATACGTATCTTTATTGACACGTTTAACCTTATTTGATAATCCCGAAGGATCTGACAAAGTTTTCAAATTACACATATTCCACAAATATTTAATTTTCACGCGATAGCCAACAAAATAATAGATATTATATTTGATTTAAAACGATAAAACGAGACCTGAGACTGTAGGTGCATGTGAGCAATAATTAACAATGAAACTGTACATATATATCATACGAAGAATAGATTAATGGAACACAAATGAATAAGAAAATCGCATTTATATACAGTCATGATTATTATATCGAATATACAACTTCTGAAAAGTGAAATAGGTACAATCCGTTAGTTTTAATTAAACACAGGAAATAGATGTCTCTTTCTCTGTCTTTCTCTCTGTCTCTCTCTCTCTCTCTCTCTTTCTCTCTCATAAAAAGAAATTAATGTCCTCCAATTGAATATGGAGAATAGTTAAAAATCAGTTATTTGGCCACTATTACGGAAAGAGACAAATGCACGTGTATAAACATGTTACGCTATTCGTTTTGTGAAAAAATGAAACAAGTTTTAAAATTAATTCGAACTGACGTGTTATTATTCTGTGTCGCGGACAATGTTATTTAAATAACGAACGAATATTGTTGAGCAATATTTTGAATAGTAATCCACACTTTCTAAGTTTAAGGAAAATGTATTTATTGCAATGTCCACTATATAAATATTGATTGCATTATCATTTTTTCACAAATCGCATTCTTTTTTTTTCAAAGCTCTACTAGCGCTACTTTAAGTGAACCAAATAAATTATTGTCTCACGGTAGGTAAAATATAAAAGTAAACGTAGATAGGGACATATAATTTTAATTTTCACCTCGCGACAACATATTTAATACGCAGCTCTTTTTGTATAAAACATTAGATGCCGTCATTGTTTATATAAAGACTTTCATGTACATATGCGCGTACGATAACCGTATATATTGTTTACTCATTCTGACTACATAATTGTGTTGCAAGTGAGCCCTCAACACGGTAAACGAAGTTATCACACATGTACATTCACTCACCGATACATTTGACAAATACAGATCATAGTGAAAAGTAACGAGAGTGTTTTTATTTTCTCTAATAAGCATATTTTTCTTGCTATTTTAATCGTTTGATTAAAAGTGCTAACGTAAACCATACGAAAACATCGTATAAGTCAACGAATGATATACGAAAAATCATAACTTTAATGAATGGAATGACCATGAACGGGGGCGGAACGCGTAAATTTTGATCGTAGATGGCGCGATTTGCCCATGCCGACGATGAAAGTGACGATGATAGATGACCCAAAATATCGGAGCAATCGAACTGAAATATTATTCTTAGCAGCATCCTTACACCGTGTCAACTTTATATCCTATTCAGAGATTAACGCGTCATTTGTTATACAAGAGAAATTTCTTCACGCATAAATTGATTTATCATAGCCGTATATAGAAACTAAAGAAAAGAAAAAAAAAGTAAACATTAATTTACTGCGAGTAATCCCGTGATAAAGCTTATCATATTATCAGAAAAAGTGTTATTATTGTCAAAGTAACGAAACGTAATAGCGTTGCAATAATTACGATAGAACAGCAAGAATCGTGAATCGCGACGTTTTGTACAAAATCACAACTTTGACGAAAGAAACTCAAATCGAGAGCCTCGCGCGTTGGGTAGGACGGACGGCTGTGTCAGTGAAGAGACTGACAATGATGGATGACTACGCGTGATGCGTGTGAGTCAAGCCCATACGACGCCATAGCTCCGAGCTCATATGTGACCTCCGGTTCGAGCAAGCCGAACTGTTGCTATCGTTGCATCTGTGCAGAACACCCTCCCGAAACACGATCCCCGATCAACGATCCTCCCCACATCGGCTAATTTCTCCAAGCTATTAACTTTTTCTCCATAAGGCCAACGAGAGGCCTTATGGAGAAAAAAAAAAAGAAAAAAAACAAGAGAGAGTTGAAAGACTAGAAAATTGCATTTTACAACCTATGCACTGGTTTAGCTGTTTGTGCGCCGCTTCCGATTTTCGAATACACGCGGGTATTTCGCAATGCACGATAGTACGTGACGTAACAATTTCGTAAACATCGGACGGTTCGTCGTTGCCGCGTTTAAAACACACATCTCAATAAAATTTACATTCAAACATTTTACGATATATCTTTATCATCGATTGTGCGGTGATATCATGGTCATATCCAGGGTGGATTTCGAAGCTGCAGGGTCAAGGGTTAGCAGACCCGAGTCGTGCGATGCTTGCCCTTTCAGCCCAACCGTCGCGACCATAAATCTTACGATCGTCAAGGGACGACTCATTCACGCCACTTTGCTTTCCATCCGATATCCGCTGAGCAGAAAACGCATGGATTTCTACGACTTTCACCTTGATCATTCAAAGTATACACGACACTGTTCGAACTATGTAAGACGCAATTTTCATTACAACAACGCTCAGTATGATTCATAATTTTCGCAATGCCGTTTTATGGATGTTAAATTTAGTCGCGAATATTCTCTCTCCTCGATTAAAAGTGATTAATTATAATGTGTTGTGCACGCGTAAAGATTTCCAGAATTATTGCGATTGTTTCATTTTGATCAATTCGTGCTGTATTCTTGAGACAAAGAACGTAAATCGAAAGAAATCTTAAAGTGGAAAGCAGCAAGATACGAGTAGCCGACGCAACGATTCTTATTTTCTTTTTCTTCCGGGGTGCACGAGAGAGAAATGTCGTTAACGCTTAAATGTTAATAAATGTAGATAGGGAATAGGGGGTCCTGTATATCAGACAGGTAGATGCTCACCTGAGCGCCCGGTGACTAAGTGAAGAAGGTAAGAAAGTGCTGCAACGCTGGCGGCTGCTTTTGAGGCTTGGTTTGTCATGGTTCGTATGATAGATGGAGGAAGCGGGAGCTTCAACTCTCCAGGGTGTGTGTGTGCTATATATATGTGTGTATGTATGTATGGTGTTGAGTTTTAACCACGGAGACACCTTGCGATCATCCCGTCCGTTAACTCGTTCGCCTACCGCAAATAGAATCTTACACGCCTCGCATGTTGCCTCCAATGAAGAAACTGTGAAATTTATTTTCGACTGATTCCTTTGCTTCCTAATGTCTTCCTCGCGAATGTATATCAAAAGCTAATAATTCGCTTCTACCTTAGCTTTCCACGCTTAAACGTAAGCCGCAATTTCGATCCATCAGAAAAGACGAAATATAAATTTTCCATGGGAGTGAAAGCCTTCTCATTCGTGGCGTTACTCATTAGTTAGTAATAATTTCACGATGACTTACGATACAACGTGAAGGTCACAATGTGCGAAGGTCTTTTATTGCATTACAGTTGAAGATATGCACCGTATCTTGAAGAATAATGAAACCTGCAGCGAGGAAATTAATAAACGTAAGTAGTAAACGTTAGTAAAAGTTGCTGAGTAAGTCAAATATAACTTCTTATACATTAGCGCGACCTTATAACTGTTCTCATTATGTTTTCCATTATTGCACTACCGAGCAGCTTTAATATCGAGTTTAATAATACATGTAAAACTCACTTAATATTGATTAAATATTTTCAATTTCATGATTCTTATGTCAATAAGCTTACATACGCTTCTTAAATATTAAATAATAGCTACGCTTAAAAATATGTAATTTGATATTTCAACTGTTTCAATTAATATGAAAGTTATTCCATAAATTTATTGCAGGGAAAATATTTAGAGTAAAAATGGTTTAGTTAAACTAGAAAATGGCAAGAGAAGCAATCGATATCGACATTTTGATGTTTTGAAAAAGACATTACGAACATATGCGATAATTGTTGTGACGAATTGACTAACGTCACGCCACAGAAATCAAATTATAATAATTACATCAGACCTGAACATGACATATTTCAATTAACTTTATTAATTGCGCTACGTGTATGACGTAATGTCAAATTCAGATTTCACAATATATCTGAATTT